GGGAGAAGGTAGGGAGATAGAGAAGAGAGAGAAGGAAGTGATGGGGGGGTGAAGGTGGGGAGATAGAGGGGCAGAGAAGGGGGAGAAGGTGTGGAGGAGGGGGCAAGATAGAGGGGCAGAGGGGACGGAATTACAGGGGGAGAGAAGGAGGGAGATGGGGAGAATTCAGCTGTAGTGTAGAGCTCAGGTCACTCACTCAGGCTGGTCTATGCAGGCACAGACAGAGGAATCAATCCTACAGCCACCATGTAGTTTGCCGGCTGCAGATGCTTCAAATTTCCCACCCACAGTGTACATCGATCTCCTCTGCTGTGAGTGCAGGGAAGGGGAGGAGGAAATGTGCTGTGTCGGGCTGTGTGAGCCACTGCAGACAGCTTCTCTTGTTGGACAAAGTCCATGGGTTGCCTGGAGGGGGGGCAGCTGAAATGTGGGGGGGCATAGCCCACCCCAGCACCCCCCTAGATTCGATGTTCCACACTGTATACTTTGTTTGCAATGATGTGATCCAGATGTATGGATATGTCTATATATATTCTAACTCCTAGTACACACATTCAGAAAACTGGATGACAAAAAAACGCTTTTGGAGGATCGTTTGATAGTCCGATCGATAATGCACAGCTTTCATGACAGTTCATGTGACAATATCTGAAGTGAAGAGCGTGAACGTTTTTCTCATACGATAACAGAGCGAACAATTTTCATTTAATCAGTATAGTAGTTGTCAAAAAAAAACCCATGAAATGACATGAAAGAGCTTCTACCAAGGGGTCTACATATCAGTGCTTTCACCCAAAATTTCCAATTTGTTAAAAATTTAATGTTTGTGAGTGAATTTTGTATGGAGAACTGATACATACCCACAAGAGGATAGCTTAAATGCCCTGAGGGGCCCCATGTGATTAAACACCTTGAAGAAAAGTCAATATACTATGAGAAAACAGTACGGGTGAGGGCCCCTGGCCCCATGCATTTTATTCCCTCCATAACCCTTCCCAACCTGACATTCCCCCAACCCTTTCTACCCACTAAGCTATCTCTTCTACCTTTTCTTCCTTTACCCTTCTGTCCCCTACAGCTGTTCACCCAGTCTTCCTTCAAGTTCCGATGTCTAACACCAACACAGCTTACAAACACTGCATTCAACTGTCCAACCAATGGAGAGTCACCACTACATGTTCTACAGCAGTGGTCTCCAAACTGTGGCTTGGGGGGGCCAAATGTGGGGCCCTTTGCTTGACACAATCAATGGGGCACTTTCCTCCCACCATTACCAACAATGGGCCACCATTCCCCCATTATTACCAATGATGGGCCACTGATGGGTATTGTATACTCCCACTGGCCACAGTCTGCCCCTCTAAAGCCTGAAGGACAGTAAACGTGCCCTTTGCTTAGAAAGTTTGGAGACCCCTGTTCTACAGAATAGGCAACCTCAAAAGTCCTTTCTTGCACTCAGCCACGTAACCGACCATCATTCTGGTTGGAATTGTTAATCTATTGAAGAACAGAGTTGCTCTTGTGTTGGGTTCCAGTGCCTCTTGGGCTACACCTCTCAACCAGACAGTATTTGATAACAGCTGGGTTTGTCCCAACAAAGCGTTGTGAGAACTTTTCGGTGATGCAAATTGATTCAGAATCATGCGGTACGAAGATACATAGGAGATTGACAATTGTGTTATTATCATGAAGAGGTTAAACCTACCCATAGACTTCATGAGGTTGGTGAGGGAGAGGACATCTCTCAGAGAACATTCCCCGGGAGAGTTATTGGTGTTTGCTGTGACTGCAGAAAGGAGAAATAAACAAAGCAGAAGCCTCATCTTCTGGATTCCAGGAACACCTGAGAGGGACGGAGAATGTTCGGATAACGGGATTATATCTCACCACAAATAAAAAATCTCTATACAAGTACAGCTGACAACTACGACACCAAGTATGACATGAATAATGGAAAACATCACAAGGAATCCCACCATTCATGTACACCGGGAAGCAATTTTGAGAATGAAAATATAATTTCAAGTTTTTTACTGATACATTTCCCCACTATGTCCACAAAATGGAGAAGCTTCACCAGGAACTAGAAGTGTCAGCTAAGGTGAAATGTTCCTCCTCTGGCTTCTTCCACTGATATTGATGTCACCGGCATTAAGGTGGAGTAAAGTGGTGTGAAATGGAGTTTTGTACATCACAATATATTTGGGAAGATTATAAAAGAGGAATTTATCTTGTGGAAGTCTCTTCTATTTACTTCTGGTGTGATGTCCCATAGACTCTCCAAGTAGAAATGTACGGGGGGGTTATTGGAAGAGTCAACATGCTCCACTCCTTTAGTAAATCCCCCTGAGCTCTCTATATATATTACAGTATTATTATTATTCAGGACTTATATAGCACCAACATTATAAAGGAGACAGTACATCAGTTACCCAAAGAAACCTTTGTTATCTTAACCGTTCTCTTCTTTTTTCAGCAACAGATTGTGTCTATGACAAAATCTCAGCCCTGTCCTGCCCCAACCTGGCCACTTCTGTCTACAATAGTTCACTGTCATCCACCCTGGAAACATTGCCGCCCCCCCACTACACACAGAATTAGGCCCTGACCGCTACAGCCCTGGCAAACAGACAATACCAGATGCCTCAAAAAACATAGCTGTGCTCTGGAACATTTATGGCGTAAGACTAAGATCCAGCAAGACTTCGACCAATATAAATCTGCCCTTCAAAAGTACAATTCTTGTCTCCACACTGCCAAACAGACCTATTTTATCACTCTCATTAACACCCTCTCACGCAATCCCCGTCAACCTTTAACTCTCTACTTCATCCTTCATTACCTCCACCCATTAACTCACTCGCTGCCCAGGAGATTGCTAATCACTTCAGAAATAAGATTGATACAATTTGTGATGAGATCTCCACTGTACAGACATCTCCCTCACCCTACACTCTTTGTCCACCAGACATGTCCCTCACCCTACACTCCTTGTCCACCAGACATCTCCCTCACCCTACACTCCTTGTCCACCAGACATCTCCCTCACCCTACACTCCTTGTCCACCAGACATCTCCCTCACCCTACACTCCTTGTCCACCAGACATCTCCCTCACCCTACACTCCTTGTCCACCAGACATCTCCCTCACCCTACACTCCCTGTCCACCAGACATCTCCCTCACCCTACACTCCTTGTCCACCAGACATGTCCCTCACCCTACACTCCCTGTCCACCAGACATCTCCCTCACCCTACACTCCCTGTCCACCAGACATCTCCCTCCCCCTACACTCCTTGTCCACCAGACATCTCCCTCACCCTACACTCCTTGTCCACCAGACATCTCCCTCACCCTACACTCCTTGTCCACCAGACATCTCCCTCACCCTACACTCCTTGTCCACCAGACATCTCCCTCACCCTACACTCCTTGTCCACCAGACATCTCCCTCACCCTACACTCCTTGTCCACCAGACATCTCCCTCACCCTACACTCCTTGTCCACCAGACATCACATCTCCCTCACCCTACACTCCTTGTCCACCAGACATCTCCCTCACCCTACACTCCCTGTCCACCAGACATCTCCCTCACCCTACACTCCTTGTCCACCAGACATGTCCCTCACCCTACACTCCTTGTCCACCAGACATCTCCCTCACCCTACACTCCTTGTCCACCAGACATCTCCCTCCCCTACACTCCTTGTCCACCAGACATCTCCCTCACCCTACACTCCTTGTCCACCAGACATCTCCCTCACCCTACACCCTTGTCCACCAGACATCTCCCTCACCCTACACTCCTTGTCCACCAGACATCTCCCTCACCCTACACTCCCTGTCCACCAGACATCTCCCTCACCCTACACTCCTTGTCCACCAGACATCTCCCTCACCCTACACTCCTGTCCACCAGACATCTCCCTCACCCTACACTCCTTGTCCACCAGACATCTCCCAACACCCTACACTCCTTGTCCACCAGACATCTCCCTCACCCTACACTCCTTGTCCACCAGACATCTCCGACTTACCCTACACTCCTTGTCCACCTGTACAATCTATACTTCCCTTGCTCAACCCAGCTACTATAGAGGAGGTTGGTAAACTGTTTTCTAAAAGCCCACCTAACCACCTGCCCCCTGGACCCTGTTCCCTCGCAAATACTACTGTCACCCTCTGGCTCTATCTTTTATTCTTTAACTCATATCTTCAATCTCTCCCTTTCTACTGGCATCTTCCCCAACTCTCTAAAACATGCGCTAGTCACCCCCATACTTAAAAAAGCCTCACTGGACCCCGCCAGTCTTGGCAACCTAAGACCCATCTCTTACTTCCTTTTGCCTCCAAACTCCTTGAACGTCTAGTCTACAACCGGCTGAGCTGCAAACTTATTGAGAGTAACCTTCTTGATCCCCTTCAGTCTGGATTTCGCCCACAAACTCCACAGAAAACTGCTCTCCTAAAAACTCACAAACGACTAACCGCTAAAACCAATGTCACTATTCCGTACTCTTGCTCTTGGACCTCTCCGCTGCATTTGACACAGTTGACCACCCCCTCCTCCTCAAAAAACTCTATTTACTTGGTCTCCATGACTGTACTCTCCATTGGTTCGAATATTACCTATCTCACTCCACCTTCAGTGTCACTTACTACTCTACTTCCTCCTCTCCTACTCTTTTTACTGTTGGGGTCACACAAGGTTCTGTCCTTGGACCTCTCCTATTCTCGATCTACACTTCTTCCTTGGGTCAGCTGATAGCTTCCCATGGTTTCCAATACCATTTCTATGCTGATGACACACAAATCTATCTCTCTACTCCTCAGCTCACCCCATCAGTTTCCTCACGTATCACCGATTTACTAACAGACATATCAGACTGGATGTCACACCGCTTCCTAAAACTCAATCTATCCAAAACTGAGCTCATAATATTTTCTCCCCCACGTGCCTCTTTTCCTGATTTCTCAGTCAGGATCAATGATGCCACCATCAACCCATCCCTGCATGCCAGGGTGCTGGGGGTTACCCTGTATTCTGAACTATCCTTTCACTCCCACATACAATCCCTGTCCAAATCATGCTGTCTCAACCTCCACAACATCTCCAGAATACGCCCATTTTTAACCAATGATAACACAAAGCTCCTAATTCACTTCCTGGTCATCTCTCTTGCCTCGACTACTGCAACTCCATCCTCATTGGCTTACCTTTACATAGGCTATCCCCCCTCCAGTCCATCATGAATACTGCTGCCAGGCTTATCCACCTTATCAGCCGTTCAGTATCTCTACTACCCTTCTCTCAATCCCTCCACTGGCCTCCACTCAGTGTCTTCCACCCCTCTCTGCCAACCCCTCCACTGGCCTCCATTCAGTGTCCTCCCTCTCTCTGCCAATCCCTCCACTGGCGTTTATTCAGTGTCATCCACCCCTCTCTGCCAATCCCTCCACTGGCCTCCATTCAGTTTCCTCTAACCCTCTCTGCCAATCCCTCCACTGGCCTCCATTCAGTGTCCTCCACCTCTCTCTGCCAATCCCTCCACTGGCCTCCATTCAGTGTCCTCCACCTCTCTGCCAATCCCTCCACTGGCCTCCATTCAGTGTCCTCCACCCCTCTCTGCCAATCCCTCCACTGGCCTCCATTCAGTGTCCTCCACCTCTCTCTGCCAATCCCTCCACGCACTCAACAAATAAAATTTAAAATACTAACAACATTACAAAGCCATCCACAACTCTGCCCCGGCTACATCACCTACCTGGTATCAAAATATCAACCAAACCGCTCTCCTCGATCCTCCCAAATCCTGCTGCTCTCTAGTTCCTGTGTCACCTCCTCCCCCATGCTCGCCTACAGGACTCTCCCGAACTTCTCCCATCTTATGGAAGTTGCTACCCCAATCTTTCTGGCTGAAAACCTTTCTCTTTAAAGAAGCCTATCCTGCTTCTACCTAGTAAACTGCCATGTATTTCCTCCATCATCTCCTCCCCCCCACAGCTATTACCTTTTGTATAACTCAACCCTTCCTCCTAGATTGTAAGCCCCCAGGAGCCGGGCCCTCTGTTTCCTCTTGTACCAAATTGTATTGTAACTGTAATGTCTACCTTCATATTGTAAAGCGCAAACTATATAAATCCTGTATAATAATAATAACAACCCATCATTGTTTCAGTGATACGAAGATTCAGGTCCCCCATACAGGACTGAGCCCTGCCCCCTCCCATAACACTTACCTGATGGATATGAGAAAAGCTATACATCTCCTGAAGGTAAGAGGACACTTATATACCTGATGGGATCCGACCTTCCACCAATCACAGCTTCTTATAAGGAAAGGAGTCATCTTTCTCATTAACCCCTCCCCTGCTAGAGGCCAGCCACCTCCCTGAATGGAAGAGAATAGAATGTGTATACTCCCAGATACAATTCTACCTTTGTGAGCCCACAGAGCTGACAATCCAGAATTTCACATAAAACAGTAATGTTTATATCTGCAGGACTGTACTAGCATGTTCTGATCTTACACAGCGAAAGCATATATCATAGCGCAGTACAGAGAATGTGGACTTCATACACTGTTGGTATAATTATACATGTATATAGCTCTGACATATACCGCAGCGCTGTACAGAGAACATTGAGCCAGTCCCATCAGTCCTTGTACCAGAGGAGCTTACACTCTAATGTCCCCTCCCCCATAGTCACATCAGTCTCTGTACCAGAGGAGCTTACACTCTAATGTCCCCTCCCCCGCAGTCCCATCAGTCTCTGTACCAGAGGAGCTTACACTCTAATGTCCCCTCCCCCCACAGTCCCATCAGTCTCTGTACCAGAGGAGCTTACACTCTAATGTCCCCTCCCCCCCACAGTCACATCAGTCTCTGTACCAGAGGAGCTTACACTCTAATGTCCCCTCCCCCCACAGTCACATCAGTCTCTGTACCAGAGGAGCGTACAATCTAATGTCCCCTCCCCCGCAGTCCCATCAGTCTCTGTACCAGAGGAGCTTACACTCTAATGTCCCCCTCCCCCACCGTCACATCAGTCTCTGTAACAGAGGAGCTTACACTCTAATGTCCCCTCCACCACTCGGCAGACTATTGAGGTAGAAATGGGGAGATGCATGGTCTTAGACGTCTCCATGGGGGGGCAGGACCTGCACCTGATTAACATCTATGGGCCCCAGACAAAATGGGACAGGAAATGCCTCTTCATGAAGATCAAGCCTTTCCTTTTACAGCCCAGCAAGTTGTCTTCGGTGGTGACTTTAACACCGTCACTAGGACTAAGGACAGGAGAGGGACCGGAGTCAGGCTGGACTGTGACGGCTAGAGAGGCAGGTCTGGTTGATGTGCACATTCATTGCTGCCCAGACGACACGGGATTCACTTTTCAGCGAGGTTCTAGTCAGAGCAGAATAGATAAGTTTTTTTTAAAGGGGAACTCCGCCTTCTCGGCACCAGTGTGTCAGGCGGTGGAGTTTTCCGATCACTGTATTCTGTCTGTGACTCTGAGTGGCCCCGATACACCACCTGGGGGGAGGGGTACCTGGAAGCTGAATTCGGCACTCCTGGACGATGAGAAGGTAAGTCAATCCTTTGAGGATTTTTTTCAGGCACAGGTATCAATCATGGACGTTTGCAGCAGTAAGTCCGAGTGGTGGGAGCTTACAAAACGAAGGATCGTTGGGTTTTTCAAGGCCATAGGAAGAAATAAACAGCTTGATAAGTATGTCACCTACCAGCGTCTGCGGAGGAAGCTCGATCGGCTTGTCTCCAATAATGGAGATTCAGAAGCATCTCTGAGGTTAAACTCCTCCTCAGGCAGTGTCAATATGACAGGCATGCCTCTTTGGTTCTGGAAAGGGATTATGGGAAATATCACTCGCCCGACCCTTACCAGAACTGCAAACAAACAAGGTAGAGCAGTTAAGTCAGTTGTAGGCCTGGTTGACAGTACGGGTTCCCTGACAAAGTCCAAGTCAGGGATCCTGGAAACCTCCAGTTCATATTATGCTATGGGTGAGGGACCTCTCCTGGGTAGCAGGGACCTCGATCGGGCGAGCATGTTGGGTTTTCTGGACTCTACTCCAGGACTGGGAAATGTCAGTTCTCTTGTGAGTCTCTGGGTAGGAGGGACCTCGATCGGGCGAGCATGTTGGGTTTTTCTGGACTCTACTCCAGGACTGGGAAATGGCAGTTCTCTTGTGAGTTGGACAGAGGACATCACGGCAGATGAGGTGGTGAAAGCTATTGATCAGCTTGCCATGAAGAAGTCGCCTGGGCCAGACGGATTGACAGCCGAGTTTTATAAGCACTTTAAGGTGACTCTGGCCCCATATTTGGTGGAGGTGTTTAATGGCTGTCTGAGAGAGGGTTCGCTCTCCCTCCATGCGACAATCTGCAGTGATTCTTCTGTCAAAGGGTAAGGATTCTTCGAGAATTGAGAATTGGCGGCCCATTAGCCTTCTCAGTGTTGATAGGAAAATACTGGCAAAGATTTTTTCTGGCATTTATTGGCTCGGGCAATTTACTTTCTCGCCATCAGCACTGTTCGGTTCAGGGAAGAAGCACTTTTTCAGCTGTGTTAGCTGTCCGGGAGTCCCTGGATTGCGGTGCAGGGCTGCAGGCTGGGGAAACTTCCTGCTGGCATTGGATCAGGCCAAAGCTTTTGATTGAGTCAATCATGAGTACCTATGGCTGCTTCTTGGCAAGTATGGCCTGGAGGGGGGCTTTATCAATTGGCTAAAGACTTTCTACAGAGGGGCTGAAAGCTTCATGCTTGTAAATGGTTGGATTGAATGGCCCTTTGAGGTTGGCTCAGGTGTGCGTCAGGGATGTCCTTTGAGTCCTCTGCTATATGCGTTTGTAATCGATCCCTTCATTCGGAGGTTAGAGAGCGGACCGTTGTGTGGAGTTCCTTTGGGCATTCCTGGAGAGCCCCCTCTGATGGCCTATGCTGATGACGTGTGTCTGTTTTCATCTCCGGGACGCAGGAGGCGGAGGAGGTGGTCTCGGTGATGGAACAGTATGCTGAGGCAGGAGGTGGAGGAGGTGGTCTCGGTGATGGAACAGTATGTTGAGGCAGGAGGCGGAGGAGGTGGTCTCGGTGATGGAACAGTATGCTGAGGCAGGAGGCGGAGGAGGTGGTCTCGGTGATGGAACAGTATGCTGAGGCAGGAGGCGGAGGAGGTGGTCTAGGTGATGGAACAGTACACTGAGGCAGGAGGTGGAGGAGGTGGTCTCGGTGATGGAACAGTATGCTGAGGCAGGAGGCGGAGGAGGTGGTCTCGGTGATGGAACAGTATGCTGAGGCAGGAGTGGAGGAGGTGGTCTCGGTGATGGAACAGTATGCTGAGGCAGGAGGCGGAGGAGGTGGTCTCGGTGATGGAACAGTATGCTGAGGCAGGAGGCGGAGGAGGTGGTCTCGGTGATGGAACAGTATTGCTGAGGCAGGAGGTGGAGGAGGTGGTCTCGGTGATGGAACAGTATTGTGAGGCAGGAGGCGGAGGAGGTGGTCTCGGTGATGGAACAGTATGCTGAGGCATCTGGCTCAAAGATCAATCAGGATAAGAGTGAGGTTTTCTGGATGGGAGAGGAAGGCGAAGGCTTTACCCTTCCGGATGCCTTCCCAGAGCCCCAACAGGAAATTAAAGTTTTAGGCATCAGATTTGGTCCCGGTGATTATGGCCTTGCAAATTGGGTAAGCAGGCTACAAGATGCCGATGCCAAGGTGGCCAGCTGGAAGGATTGGAAACTCTCTTACAGGGAAAGGATTGACCGGATTAGAACTTACCTGATCCCGGTATTTCTGTATGTCAGCTTTGTCTGTGTCCAGTGTCTCTCTATGCGAGGATCTACAGTGGTTTCTTCCAGCTGTTAGGGGGGAAACAGACTGAACCTCATTAAGAGGTCTGTAACCTACCTTTCCAGGCAGATGGGTGGCCTAGGTATAGTCAACCCAGTGGTTTTCTTTTCTCTGATGTTTTTGAAACATAATTTTAGTAGTATTCTGGCAGAGGAACCACCTGGGTGGGTTGGTATTTTTCAGTCCTGGTTTAGGCCTTTTCTGCGAAGCTGGGAGAATGGTGGTCCAGTGAAAAGCCTGAGGGTCCAACATGGTGAGCTCCTGGCTTATGTTGCCCCATGTCTGAAAATGCTTCGGCAATGGCGAGTGAAATTAAGTCTCTTCCTAGGAAGGCCCTGGAGAGGAGAGTTGTTGAATCTGCCTTTAGCGAGCTGCTGGCATTGAGGGATTGCCCAGGCCCGGTTATGAGGGAGGGTCTGCATTTGATGAAAACTGGAGAGAATACCTTTAAAGTTTCAGGAGTTGGCCTGGCTCTCGTTCCATGGCAGACTCTATGTGAAGGGCAACCTGAAGCATCGCTCTGTGGAGAATCGTGGTTGTCCAAGAGTGGAGTGCGGTGGGGGGTGGAGGAGATGGTGGACCATTTCTTGCCTCAGTGCCCCTTCAATACAGATGTCTACAAGTGGGAGGGTGGTGCTTTGGGGATCCCTTTCCTTTTCTGCTTGAGTTACGCGGAGTGGTCTTACGGTGCCTTTCAGACTCACCGGGACTTTGATTTTAAGACACTTTTTCCAGTTAGCTTAGTAGTCCGTTACTACACGTGGAATGCACGGTGTCAGGTTTCCATTCGCAAAAAAAGTCCTTCCTGTGGAGGTGGTGGTGAGCAACATTCTGGGTGAGGTTGGGAAGATTTGGGGTCTTGAGAAGGACAGGTGGCGGCCGGGAGCCTGGACAAAGGCGTGGAGGAATGTCAGGTCCCTGTAGCTGCTGTCTGTCAGTCTCTGGGGGCGTGGCTTCTCTTTGTGTCCTTTCACGTCCCCTAGATTTTTGTAACATCAGATTTTTGGAAAAAGGCGGCATGTATGGGATCAATGTTTCATCGTAGCCTGAGGGGGGTTTTAGGTGAAGGGAGGGTTGTGTTTTGCATAATTTAGTACATTTTTGGATTATAAAATTATGTTTCTTTGTATGTAGTTCTATTTATGGTATTTTCAGAAAAAAAGCCTTTTTTTCTGTTATGTGCTGATGTAAGCTTGTTTGGTTTTGTTTATATATACACTATATTGCCCCAAGTATTGGGCTCGCCCTCCCAATCATGTGATTCAGGTGTTCCAATCCCCTCCATATCATGTGATTCAGGTGCTCCAATCCCCTCCATGGACACATGTGTATACAATCAAGCCCCTAGGCATGCAGACGCTTCTACAAACATTGGTGAAAGAATGGGCCGCTCTCAGGAGCTCAGTGACTCCAAGCGTGGTCCCGTGATAGGTGGCCACCTGGGCAATAAGTCCATCCGTGACATTTCCTGGCTACTAAATATTCCACGCTCAACTGTTAGTGGGATTATAACAAAGTGGAAGCCACTGGGAACAACAGCCACTCAGCCACCAAGTGGTAGGCCACGTCACATGACAGGGTGGGGTCAGCGCATGCTGAAGCGCACAGTGTGCAGAAGTCACCAACTGTCTGCAGAGTCAATAGCTAAAGACCTCCAAACTTGGTGTGGCCTTCAGATGAGCCCAACAACAGTGCGTAGAGAGCTTCATGGAATGGGTTTCCATGGCGGAGCAGCTGCATTCAAGCCTTCCATCACCAAGTGCAATGCAAAGCGTCGGATGCCATGGTGTAAAGCATGCTGCCACTGGACTCTAGAGCAGTGAATACATTTTCTCAGGAGTTACCAATCATGATTCTCCGTCTGACAATCCGATGGTCGTGTCTGGGTTTGGCAGTTTCCAGAAAAACGTTCCTTGCCAGACTGTATTGTGCCAAGTGTAAAGTTTGGTGGAGGGGGGATTATGGTGGGGGGTTGTTTTTCAGGTGTTGGGCTTGGCCCCCTAGTTCCAGTGAAGGGAGCTCTTAAGGCAACATTTTGGACAATGTCATGCTCCCAATTTTGTGGGAGGAGTTTGGGGATGGCCCCTTCCTGTTCCAACATGACTGCGCACCAGTGCACAAAGCAAGGTCCATAAAGACATGGAGGAGCCAGTTTGGGGTGGAGGAACTTGACTGTCCTGCACAGAGTCCTGACCTCAACCCCATAGAACACCTTTGGGATGAATTAGAGCGGAGACTGCGAGCCAGGCCTCCTCCCCCGACATCAGTGCCTGACCTGACAAATGTGCTTCTGGAAGAATGGTCCAACCTTCCCATAGACACCCTCCTAAACCTTGTGGACGGCCTTCCCAGAAGAGTTGAAGCTGTTATAGCTGCAAAGGGCGGGGCCAACCCAATATTGAACCCTGCAGGACTAAGACTGGGGGGCCATTAAAGGTCATGTGTGTGGAAAGGGCGGGGCCAACTCAATAATGAACCCTACGGACTAAGACTGGGGGGCCATTACAGGTCATGTGTGCGGGCAATATAGTGTCTATATATATATTCATTTTTATTTGTATTTTATATCTTGTATATACCGTAGTTTTCGCTCCATAAGACGCACCTAAGATTTAGAGAAGGAAAACAAGAAAAAAAATATTCTGAACCGATGGACTGCAGACAGTACAGGAGATGACCGGAGACTGCGGACACAGTACAGGAGATGACCAGAGACTGCGGACACAGTACAGGAGATGACCAGAGACTGCGGACACAGTACAGGAGATGACCAGAGACTGCGGACACAGTACAGGAGATGACCGGAGACTGCGGACACAGTACAGGAGATGACCAGAGACTGCGGACATAGTACAGGAGATGACCAGGAGACTGCAGACACAGTACAGGAGATGACCAGAGACTGCGGACATAGTACAGGAGATGACCAGAGACTGCGGACATAGTACAGGAGATGACCAGAGACTGCGGACACAGTACAGGAGATGACCAGAGACTGCGGACACAGTACAGGAGATGACCAGAGACTGCGGACACAGTACAGGAGATGACCGGAGACTGCGGACACAGTACAGGAGATGACCAGAGACTGCAGACACAGTACAGGAGATGACCAGAGACTGCAGACACAGTACAGGAGATGACCGGAGACTGCAGACATAGTACAGGAGACTACCAGAGACTGCAGACATAGTACAGGAGATGACCGAGACTGCAGACATAGTACAGGAGATGACCAGAGACTGCAGACATAGTACAGGAGATGACCAGAGACTGCGGACATAGTACAGGAGATGACCAGAGACTGCAGACATAGTACAGGAGATGACCAGAGACTGCAGACATAGTACAGGAGATGACCAGAGACTGCAGACACAGTACAGGAGATGACCGGAGACTGCGGACATAGTACAGGAGATGACCAGAGACTGCAGACATAGTACAGGAGATGACCAGAGACTGCAGGACACAGTACAGGAGATGACCAGAGACTGCAGACACAGTACAGGGATGACCAGAGACTGCAGACACAGTACAGGAGATGACCAGAGACTGCAGACATAGTACAGGAGATGACCAGAGACTGCGGACATAGTACAGGAGATGACCAGAGACTGCAGACATAGTACAGGAGATGACCAGAGACTGTAGACATAGTACAGGAGATGACCAGAGACTGCAGACATAGTACAGGAGATGACCAGAGACTGTAGACATAGTACAGGAGATGACTGGAGACTGCGGACCTTTGGGGAGGGAGGGGGAGGGGGTACCTGAATTTGACAGGTACCTGCTCCCACTTCCGCGGAGTTTTCCTCCCTTTAGTGTGAGCACACGGCTTACAGCTGGGTGCCCACTGCGCATACGTGAGAAGTGCTGAGCTTTGTGATTGGTCTTCGGGGACCTGTCATGTGTCCCAGAAGACGCCGTACCATTCACAAAGCGCAGTTCTTCTTGCGCATGCGCAGTGGGCACCCATCTGTCACAGTCGAGAGCCCACACTAAAGATGTCAGCGCGGGAAGACTGCGCAGCGCTGGAGCGAGGATCAGGTTCTGCTGCAGAGAAGAGCTGAGCGGCCGGCCCGGTATTCTGACACAATGGTGGGAATTCCGGACGCTCCATATTCGCTCCATAAGACGCACTGACATCTTCACTCCTTTTTTGGGATAAAAAAGTGCATCTTATGGAGCGAAAAATACGGTATATATAAATAAGTTTTACTAACAAGCTGAATGTTTACAGATTTGACATCAATATTTCCCTCTGAGGTCTCTCTACAACTCTCTAGTTTTAGGCTTTTGTTTCTTTTTCAAGGTTTTGTCAAAATTTCCCCCTCACTGATCCGGGACGTCGGGAGAAGGAAGCCATGATTGATCTGGATTGGACACTTCATGGGATATCTGCTGACAATTGTACACTTCAGGTGTCGGGGTGTCACCTCTCACACACACTCAGACCCGGTAAGGGGGGGGGGGGGATTCCCCGTGTGCAGTGGAATGGTTCAGGTGACATTCTATTTCCTTGTGCATTCACGGCATACAACCTCATGTCATGCAGACGGTCACGCAACGCGGCACACAAATCACATTTCTATCATTTCTTGGAGACAGAGATTTCTTTTGGTGGTATTTACTGTTTTTTTTTTCCTTCTTCTTTGTTTTTTTTTTTGCAATATAAACCACATTTTTTTTCTTTTCTGTTATGACATTTTGTAAATAAATAATCTTTCTTCATAAGTTTAGACCAAAATGTATTCGGCTCCTTTCCTTTGGTGAAAATACCCCAAATCAGTGTTTATTATTTATTGTGTAGGGAAGATATAAAGTCCACAAACTAGATAGATATATCTGAGAATTATTGTTTCTGCAGGCCAGGACAGTGCAAATCCCCCCAAATGTCAGGACAGTGCAAATCCCCCCAAATGTCAGGACAGTGCAAATCCCCCCAAATGTCAGGACAGTACAAATCCCCCCAAATGTCAGGACAGTGCAAATCCCCCCAAATGTCAGGACGGTACAAATCCCCCCAAATGTCAGGACGGTACAAATCCCCCCCAAAGGTCAGGACAGTACAAATCCCCCCAAATGTCAGGACTGTACAAATCCCCCCCAAATGTCAGGAGGGTACAAATCCCTCCAAATGTCAGGACGGTACAAATCCCCCCCCCAAATGTCAGGACAGTACAAATCCCCCCCAAATGTCAGGACAGTACAAATCCCCCCAAATGTCAGGACTGTACAAATCCCCCCCAAATGTCAGGAGGGTACAAATCCTTCCAAATGTCAGGACGGTACAAATCCCCCCCCCAAATGTCAGGACAGTACAAATCCCCCCCAAATGTCAGGACTAGAGATGAGCGAATCGAACCAGGCGAACCGGAATTCTATACGAATTTCAGGAAAAATTTCTCTCCGATCAGCCGGCAAAAGTGTCCCTGCAGAGAGCTCCGCTATTTCTGACAGTTCTCTAAGGAGCTGTCAGAGAACTGTCAGAAATAGAGGAACTCTGCACATACACTTTTTGCCGGTTTGGAATTCTTATTTTCATCCTACTTCTTCTTCTTCTTCTTCATCCTCATCCTCATCCTCAGAAGAAGAAGAAGAGGATGAGGATGAGGATGAAGAAGAAGAAGAAGAAGTAGGATGAAAATAAGAATAATTCCAAGCCGGCAAAAAGTGTATGTGCAGAGCTCCTCTAAGTGTATCTGCAGAATGTCATTTATGGAAACAAATAGATACAATGTTTCAACCGCTGTATGGAGTGAGTGTCCCAGAACTGTCAGAAATAGTGGAGCTCTGCAGATACACTTAGAGGAGCTCTGCAGATACACTTTTTGCCAGCTTGGAATTCTTCTTATTTTCATCCTACTTCTTCTTCTTCTTCTTCTTCTTCTTCTTCTTCTTCTTCATCCTCATCCTCATCCTCTTCTTCTTCTTCTGAGAGATGAGGATGAGATGAAGAAGAAGTAGGATGAAAATAAGAAGAATTCCAAACCGGCAAAAAGTGTATCTGCAGAGCTCCTCTAAGTGTATCTGCAGAATAGAGGAGCTCTGCAGATACACTTTTTGCCGGCTTGGAATTCTTCTTATTTTCATCCTACTTCTTCTTCTTCTTCTTCTTCATCCTCATCCTGCAGATACACTTTTTGCCGGCTTGGAATTATTCTTATTTTCATCCTACTTCTTCTTTTTCTTCTTCTTCTTCTTCATCCTCATCCTCATCCTCTTCTTCTTCTTCTGAGGATGAGGATGAAGAAGAAGTAGGATGAAAATAAGAATTCCAAACCGGCAAAAAGTGTATCTGCAGAGCTCCTCTATTTCTGACAGTTCTCTGACAGTTCCTTCACATGTACAGCGGTTGAAACATTGTATCTGTTTTCGAATAAAAACATCTGTATCCTAAATGGAAACAAATAGATACAATGTTTCAACCGCTGTACATGTGAGTGAACTGTCAGAGAACTGTCAGAAATAGCGGAGCTCTCTGCAGGGACACTTTTGCCGGCTGATCGGGAAAAATCCGATTCGCGCACCCGAAGTAGGCAAATATTCGGATTCGACGAGAATCGAATTTTTCCTAAAATTCGTATAGAATTCCGGTTCGCCTGGTTCGATTCGCTCATCTCTAGTCAGGACGGTACAGATATCCCCCAAATGTCAGAACGGTACAGATATCCCCCAAATGTCAGAACGGTACAGATATCCCCCAAATGTCAGGACAGTACAGATATCCCCCAAATGTCAGGACGGTACAGATATCCCCCAAATGTCAGAACAGTACAGATATCCCCCAAATGTCAGGACGGTACAGATATCCCCCAAATGTCAGAACAGTACAGATATCCCCCAAATGTCAGGACAGTACAGATATACCCCAAATGTCAGGACAGTTACAGATATCCCCCAAATGTCAGGACAGTACAGATATCCCCCAAATGTCAGGACAGGACAGACATCCCCCAAATGTCAGAACAGTACAGATATCCCCCAAATGTCAGGACAGTACAGATATCCCCCAAATGTCAGGACAGTACAGATATCCCCCAAATGTCAGGACGGTACAGATATCCCCCAAATGTCAGAACAGTACAGATATCCCCCAAATGTCAGGACAGTACAGATAGCGTGTGCTGTCTGTACTGAGACATAGCGTGTGCTGTGTGTGCTGTGTGTGCTGTGACATTGTGTGTGTTGTAACATAGGGTGTGCTGTGTTGGCTGTGAAATGTTAGCCTCTGGGCCACTTTGGGGGCTGCTGGGGAAGCAGAAGGATGGGGGAACACTTCATGGGATATCTCTTATGGGGAAACGCTGACAATTGTACACTTCAGGTGTCGGGGGGTGTCACCTCTCACACACACTCAGACCCGGTAAGGGGGGGGGGGGATTCCCCGTGTGCAGTGGAATGGTTCAGGTGACATTCTATTTTCCTTGTGCATTTCACGGCATACAACCTCATGTCATGCAGACGGTCACGCAACGCGGCACACAAATCACATTTCTATTATTTCTTGGAGACAGACAGAGATTTCTTTTGGAGGTATTTACTGGTTTTTTTTTTCCTTCTTTGTTTTTTTTTGCAACATAAACCACATTTTTCTTCTTTTCTGTTATAACATTTTGTAAATAAATAATCTTTCTTCATAAATTTAGACCAAAATGTATTCGGCTCCTTTCCTTTGGTGAAAATAACCCCAAATCAGTGTTTATTATTTATTGTGTAGGAACGTTATAGTGTCCGCAAACTGTGAGAGATATATTATTATATTATTATTATGATTATTATACAGGATTTATATAGCGGCAGAAGGTTGCTCAGCGCTGTACATTGTAGTGGGGACAGAACATGAGACAATACAGTAACAAAACAATACATGAGGGGTGCGAGGGCCCTGCTCTTTCCAGCTTACAATCTAGGAGGGAGGGGATAGTGGTACAGGAGGAAGTGGCTGTGGGGGATGGAGTGGTAGGAGGAGTGGAGGAGATCGGCTGTTAGGTGAGGGCGGGGTAGGCATCCCTGAAGAGATGGGTTTTTAGGGTGCGCCTGAAGGTGAAAAGGGTAGGTGACAGTCTGATGGATTGGGGTAGGGAGTTCCAGAGGATGGGGGAAGTCCTGGAGAAGTCCTGTAATCGGGCGTGGGAGGAGGAGACCAGGGAGCTGGAAAGTAGGAGGTCCTGTGAGGAGTGAAGGGCACGGGTAGGGTGGTATTTCAGTATCAGGTCGTTGAGGTAGTTTGGGGCGGCATTGTGAATGGCTTTGTATGTCAGAGTTAGTAGTTTGAATTTGATGCGTTGGGTAATCTGGAGCCAATGAAGGGATTGGCAGAGGGCGGAGGCAGATGTGGAGCGGTTGGTGAGGTGGATGAGTCTAGCCGCTGAGTTCAGGATAGACTGGAGTGGGGATAGCGTGTGTTTGGGTAGGCCAGTGAGAAGGGAGTTGCAGTAGTCCAGGCGTGAGATGATGAGGGAGTGTACGAGTTGTTTCGTAGTGTCTGGGTGAGGAATGTGCGTATCCTGGAGATGTTGCGGAGGTGGAGCCTGCATGACTTTGATAGTGATTGGGCATGAGGTTGGAAGGAAAGGTTTGAATCCAGGGTGACACCCAGGACTTTGGCGTGTGGGGTGGGATTGATGGTGGCGTTGTTAGTCGTGATGGAGAGGATGGGGGGGGGGGGGGGGGGGGGCGCGGGCTGGGGGGGAAAACTAGGAGCTCAGTTTGGACAGGTTTAACTTGAGGAAATGGAGTGACATCCAGTCTGATATGTCGTTCAGGAGGTGGGCGATGCGGGCGGAGAGACAGGGGGTGAGGCGAGGGGTGGAGAGGTAAATTTGTGTGTTGTCGGCATAGAGGTGGTAGTTGAAGCCGTGGGAATGTATCAGTTTGCCAAGGGAGGAGGTGTAGATGGAGAAGAGAAGGGGTCCGAGGACAGAACCTTGGGGGACCTGATGCCAAAAGAGTGCAGTTTAGTAAGGAGGAGGGGGGTGGTGGACTGTGTCGAAGGCCGTGGAGAGGTCAAGGAGTAAGAGGACTGAGTAGTGGCCATTAGCTTTGGCGGTTAGCAGGTCATTAGTGATTTTGAGGAAGGCGGTTTCGGTGGAGTGTAGGGGACAGAAGCCGGACTGTAGGGGATCAAGGACGTTGTTGTCAGTGAGGTGGGCTCTTAGGCGATTGTGTAGACTAAGCGCTCAAGGAGCTTGGTAGTAAATGGTAGCAGGGAGATGGGTCTAAGGTTGTTCAGGTCAGTGGGGTCAAGGGAGGGTTTTTTGAGTATGGGGGTAATGTGTGTGTGCTTTAGGGGGGAGGGGAATGCACCAGTAGAGAGGGAGATGTTGAAGATGTGGGTGAGGGAGCGAATGATGGAGGAGGGGAGTGACTGGAGGAGTTGTGAGGGGATAGGGTCCAGGGGGCAAGTGGTGAGGTGGGCTTCAGTTAAGACCTTAGTCACCTCCTCAGTGGTTGCAGGGCTGAAGGAGCGGGGTGTTGGGGAGGTTATAGTGTGCGGGGCGTTGGGTATGGTGGGGGGCAGTGCGGTTGCGAGGTCGGAGGAGGGGAGAGTTGAGGGGGTGTGATGGAGGGGAGGAGGCTGGGTGGAAAGGTAGATTGTGAATTGACAATGTCCTTACAGATTGCGTCAATCTTGTTTTGGAAATGATTGGCAATCTCGTGGGTGGTGAGTGAGGTACTGAGTGGAGGTGGGGGGAGAGCAGGGATTTGAAAGTGGAGAAGAGCCGGCGAGGACAGGTGGAGAGGGTGTTGATGAGGGTTATGAAGTAGGCTTGCTTGGTAGCGTGGAGGGAGGAGGTGTAGGTGAGGAAGGCGGATTTGTAGAGGGAAACGCACGAGGGGATCTGGTTTTGCGCCATAAGCACTCCAGCGCGCAACTGCGTTGTTTGAAACATTTTGTATGGTCATTCTGCCAGGGTTGAAGCGGTCGGGGTCTGATGTTACGTGTGGTTAGGGGTGCCAGGGAGTCAAGGGCAGCTGACAGTGAGTTGTTGTACGCAGTAGCGGCCAGGTCAGGGCATGACAGAGGGAGGATACTGTCATACAGACGGTCAGCTGCCGAGTGGAGGGGGGCCGGGTTCAGGTTGTGGAGGCTACGGCTGGTGATGGTCTGACGCTTGGGGGGGGGGGGGTAAGGGAGGGGGGAGGTGGAGAATGTGAGGAGGTGGTGGTCAGAGAGGGGGGAAGGGGTGTTAGTGAAGTTGTGGAGGGTGCAGAGGTGGGAGGGGGAAACGAGGTCCAGGGTGTTTCCAGGGTGTTTCCATTGGTGTGGGTGGAGGACTGAGTGTGCTGTGTGAGCACGAAGGAGGAGGTTAGAAGGAGGAGTTGGGAAGTAGCCGGGTTGTTGACGTTGATGGGGATATTGAAATCCCCGAGGATGATGGTGGTCGGTATCTCCGAAGAGAGGAAGAAGGGAAGCCAGGCGGCAAAATCGTCCAGAAAGAGGGATACGGATCCTGGAGGCCGATAGATTACCGTAAATCTCCTCAGAGGGGTGGGAGAGAAGAGCCGGATGCAGTGGGCCTCAAAGGAGGAGAAGGATAGGGAGGGGGGTTAGGGAGGACCTGGAAGGTGCTCAGCGGTGGCAGGAGCATGCCGACCCCACCGCCCCTGCGACCACTCGGTCTGGGGTGAGTGGGTCCAGACGAGGCCTCCATAGGTGAGTGCTGCAGGGGAGGTGGAGTCGGTGGCTTGGATCCTGGTTTCGGTGACCGCTAGGAGGTTGAGGGAGTGGGAGACAAAGAGGTCATGGATGGTGGTGAGCTTGTTGCAAACCAAACGGGTGTGTTTAGGAGTGCAACTGAGAGAGGAGGGTGGATGCGGGGAGGAGAGGGGACGGGTATGAGGTTGAGCAGGTTGCGGCTGCTGGCGGGAGCAGGAGGGTGCCTGGAGAGGCAGTGGGGAGGTGGGGGGCCATGGTTCGGGGAGATGTCACCGGCGGTTAGGAGAAGGAGAAGGGTGAGGAAGGTGGCATGGGAACAAGATGTGCAGGAGCGTGTGGGTCTGTTGGTGGTGGCATGTGGATCGGTGGGGGAGTGGAGTATCAGGAGGAGGTGGTGAGAGCTGTAGTGGGGAGAAGGAAGAAGTGAAGGAGCAATGTAGAGCTGTTTTGGGGGAGTAGGAGGGTAGAGGGATGCGATTTTGTGAATGGAGGAGAGGAGTAAAAGGAGGAGGAGTGCAGGTGGCATGTTAGGGTGAGCGGAGTGCTGGTCAGATCGGGGAGGTGAGAGGTTTCACATCAGGGCATGATGATGCGGAGAGTCTGTCACGTCATGGCGGAGTTCATCTGTGTCCATCTGTAGGAGGAGACTGAGAGTGGTTGGGCGGCTGGGTCAGCAGCTGGCTAGTTGCAGTCTGTGGGTGCTGTGGCACGGTGTCGGTGGGTACGGTGGCTCAGCGACTGGATGAGCTGTAGGGCGCGGTGTCTGGGAGTGCTGCAGGGCACGGCGTCTGGGGATGCCGACGGCTCGGTGTCTGGAGGTGCTGCATGCCCGGCGTCAGAAGGTGCCGCAGGCTCAGAG